AGACCAGAGGCTAGACGCCAGGAACCCTGGCGTCTAGGGGGTAGACGCCGAGAACCCTGGCATCTAGCCATGGAGTCCAAGAAGGAATCTTGCCTTTCGGGTGAAACCGACTTTGAGGAGGCTTTTACTCCAAGTTTCGACCCCAGGGCTCAACATATAAATAGAGGGGTAAGGCTAGCACCAAAGAGACATCAAGAAACACCAAGCCGTGTGCCGGCAACCCCGTCCCCTCTAGTTTATCCTCCGTCATAGTTTTCGTAGTGCTTAGGCGAAGCCCTGCGGAGATTGTTCTTCACCAACACCGTCACCACGCCGTCGTGCTGCCGGAACTCATCTACTACTTCGCCCCTCTTGCTGGATCGAGAAGGCGAGGACGTCACCGAGCCGAACGTGTGCAGAACTCGGCGGTGCCGTGCTTTCGGTACTTGGATCGGTCGGACATGAAGACGTACGACTACATCAACCGCGTTGATATAACGCTTCCGCGAACGGTCTACGAGGGTACGTAGACAACACTCTCCCCTCTCGTTGTTATGCATCACCACGATCGTGCGTGTGCGTAGGATTTTTTTTGAAATTACTACATTCCCGTACAGGCACCTGGCGGGGATTTTTTCCCTGAGGACGACGAGGTGGTGGAGACGGATCTTGTCCTCCTCCATTGCCCCCAGAGCTTGAAGATCTCTGGTGTTTCTCCACCCAAACGCCTCCCTCCTTGGGGTCGCGACGCGTCGGAGCCGTCGCCGCCGCCGCATCCCACCTCGAGGTGTTGCCCGAGCCCGAGGCCGCGTTGGACGACGACGAGATGGTGCGGTCGCCGCCGTTGTCGCGTTTCCAGGAGTACTTGCTCCGTTCTCCTCCCCGGCCGTTTCCTCGACCCGAGCTCCGTCTTGCTCCACGGCCTGCACCCGCGCCTCCGCGCCGCCCCCATCGAAGCCGCGCCCCGCATCCATGGTGGGGGGTGGGGGGGGGGAGGGGAGGCCGCTACGGCCGCGAAGGAACACAGATCTCCTCCCACCTTGCCCTTCCACCACCCGTAGGAGATTGGGGGATTCGATCTAGGGTTTCTCTCCGCCGTCCAAAAGTGGGAGAAGGCAGTATCTAGGTCAAGGACTGGGCTCGGTTTAGGATTTATACTCTCACCATGAACCCTGGCTCGGAATGGAGGATCGGATGCGCCCCCACGTGTCGCACATCCGCCATGGATGGGTAGGTGGGGGAGCTTGGGCCCGCATCAGCCCGCGTCGGTGCGGTTGCATGCCGTGCCGTGTACCGCCCGTGTGCCGCATCCTTGTTGATCGGTGCCCGCGTCGGCGGCGGCACCGGTCTCGTCAGCGGCAATCGATCTCGGATCTTCGCAAAATGGCAAGAAAAGGATATGATGTCTCCGATGTCTACGGACTCACCCTCCCATAGGAAGCGCGCATCGATCGTGACGCCGCGTACGTCCACCAGCACCAGACGAAGAGCCTCTCGTTGAAGGAGGAGAACCCCGTCGGAGAAGGTGAGCTTGCCCGTCACGAGGTCGGCGGCGTAGGAGACGCGCCATCACACGTCGTCGCACGCCATCTCTTCTGGTGCCGGTTCCAGCGAAACTCGTGGTGCCAATCGACCCAATAGGTCATTCCAAATCTGAAGTCCAAATCCCACAGGAATATCACGTAACGCAAAGACCAGCCGAACGCTTGGACTTTCCTTCTGATGACTTTTCCATGGTTATAGGGTCGCAATTTTCTACACGGTACAGCGCTGGCAAGGCATTCCCGGTGACCACCAGGCCTAACCCTTGGACGGCCACATACCAGTCTACCACGTCTCCATCGTCATCAGCGAGTTTACCACGGCAAGTCGGAACCTTCCTCTAACAGGAACAAGAACAAGTACACCATCCTTGTTGGAGAAGCAAAAATAAGTCACGGAGCCTAGATGGCAGCTGCGGCCGCCTCGCTGCTACTACTGCAGTGCGTGGTCACCATGCTCGCCGGTGCCGCCACGGCCGACGCCCAATATTCCGCCCAGACCTTCGCCGACCTCCAGAACGCGGCCCGCGCCGACGTGGGAGTCGCGCCGCTGGCGTGGGATGACACCCTGGCAGGCTACGCCCAGAGATACGCCGGCGAGAGGAAAGGCGACTGCAAGCTCGTGACTCCGACGGGCCCTATGGCGAGAGCATATTCTGGGGCAACAAGGGCGGTAACTGGACGGCCAGCGACGCGGTGGCCTTGTGGGTCCAGGAGAAGCAGTACTACAACTGCAGCGACGGCTCGTGTGCCGCGGGAAAAATCTGCTCTCATTACACGCAGATCGTGTGGGCTAACACCACCCGGGTCGGGTGCGCCGCCGTGGCCTGCGACGGGAACCTTGGTACGTTCATCCTTTGTGAGTACGACCCCCGAGGGAACGTGCCGGGTGTCCGGCCGTATGCCGGCTGCGGCCAGTTCAACCGCTCAGGTAATAGCTTCAAACGATCACCTTTTCGTTGCCGTTCAGTTATTACCAAAGTTTTAAATAGCACGATAAGCCTCTTAACGACGAACCTCTTCTAAATGCTATAGCGTGTTATAGTGATGCTATAACGAGCTATATAAAATATTTACTCATGTGTTTGGACAAAAGACCCTTATCGCAAGACCTCTTCTAAACGCTATCTTTCCCTAATAATAATAAAGTACGGATTGAGTCTCCGGTTTGTCCGTCCGTCCGTTGTTTTCTTCATACATTGTCCTCTTCTTCACCCGTGCTGGTGTGTGCGTACGATCCTCCTAGAAGGACTGCTCCCATCGTCGCTGTGGAGCCTGCCGTGGTAGGCCATATGGGCCCAGGTGAAGCGACCACGAGGCAACGCTTCGGAGCAACACCTAGCCCGATGGAGGAGGGCGTTCAATTGCCGACGAGCGGTGGAGGGAAACAGCAGGATGGATCTCAGCGCCCACGATCCCTCCTCACGCCGTACTGCTGCTTCGCCTCCTAGCCACCATGCATCGGCGTCGGCCCGACCTTCCCCCGCCTCGAGTCACCTCCTGCATGGCGTCTTCGCCCATCGTGGTCGCGCACTCCCGGAGCCCATCACAGGTGCAGTCGAGTGACTCGAGAACGAGGCCCTTGATGCCTTTGTCAGCCACGACCCACGAGGCGGTTATTGAGGGAGAGAACGCGGGTTTTATGATCTGCAAGCAGGGAGACGAGGCGCTGCTGGTGTTTATGGAGGCGGGATCGAGGTGCCTGGCCGGTGGCGAATCCTACGGCGGTCCAGCGGTGAGGAGCGGAAGCAGATGGAAACGGGAGATGGAGAGCCAAGAAGCGAGGTGTTGGGGGAGGAAGAGGACGCAGGGGAGGAGGAACCAAAGAAGAGAGGCTGCGGGGAGGAAGAAGAAGGGAAAGGAGCGCTGGGGTAGGGGCAAGGCACTGAGGATGTTGCAGCCGCCAATACTGCGTACATACTTTTCTTTGTATATATGTCTACTTTCTCTGTGAAATTAGATGCGAGTTCGGTGTGTTCTATCATCTAACCATCTATAATGAGCTAGAACAAAATTTCAGAACAGTATGTTCGCACAATTGAGACTAAAATCACTTTTGATGTTAATGTTAATTAGTATATGGATGACCACCACCACAGCATGGCTGCTTAACCAGCTGGATTCGTCCGTTCAGCAACCTAGGTCAAGCTTAGCGCAAATTAGCAGTCTTGGTCAGCCCTGATTTTTTGTTGGTCAGCCCGTTATTTTTGTTTTGTTTTGCTCATCATTGTTTCTTCCGCGTTTCAATTGGAGAAAAATATGATGCATAGCTTGTCAACTGGTGTAGCCCATATGTGCAGGAGTTTCGGTTTTAGAGATATATGGTGGTATATTCGCATTGCTATTTCAACATCTTCTTCACTGAATTTATAATTGTTTCCAGTCCCACTGGTATATTCACAGGCTGTAAATATGGTTAATTTAATGTCAACTCCATAGAAATCTAATTCTAAATGCATGATCCGGTGGCAGTTCCGCTGTGGAGGTTTTGCTTCGTATTCAGTCATTCATACCTGAAATATGATGTACTTATTAACTTAACACATTTTGTATAAAAAGGAAAAGGAAAATTAGCCGCACGAATCTGCACGTAAAATCATTGGTATAAAACTTAGATGTGCATCCTCTAGATGTGCCTTAGGAAACCCATATGTATATCCTGCAAAATAAAAACCGTATGTATATATCTCAAGAGGAAAGCTATAAATCACTTTGTGTAGGAAATACTTGAATTGCATAGAGTTTTTTTGGAAACACGTAATAGGAAGTGGTCAATGGTACGGTTATGGAGGTTGCGTCGTGTCAAAGGATTTTTATGGGCCACATGGATATAAAGATGATGATGGACATGAGATGTTTGCACACAAAGTGGCGGTCACGCCTTTAGGTGGTGGGTTGACTTAATTCCTTCGTTCGAGTGATTCGAGTGAAGATTCTCACCTAAGGTAATTTCAACTTTTTGTTTGTCACATTTACCACTCCCTCTGCAAACTAATATAAGACATTTTAAATCACTAAGTTTTAGTGATTTAATGTGGCCGTATTCATCGTTCTGATGGAGAGGCCGGGGAGTCCCCTTTTCGAAAAAAAAAGTTTTAGTGATTTAATATTAGTTTACAGAAGGAGTACATGAATTCTTGACACTAACCACATCTATATGTTCTAAGTAATATTATGCTAACCGAAAAAAGTAATTAATGTTATGCTAGATGGTTCGACTGTTTTCTCCATAGCGAAGCACGTTGCTTGCTCATTGTAATCATTTTTCAGTTTGATATTTATCAATTTATATGTGTTTTTAGGAGATGTGACGATATATTTTTCTTCTGTTGCAACGCACGGGCATTTTTGCTAGTAGCTTTAAAACCATGGTTATTGCTTAAGAAGACATCTTCCGTTTCTTTTGGCGTTGCAGCGCAGAGTTCACCTCAAGATTTCCTCAACCTCCAGAACGCGGCCAGAGCCGGCGTTGGCGTGGGCATGCTCTCGTGGGACAGCACGGTGGCGGCCTACGCCGAAGGCTACGCGGAGAAGAGGAAGGGCGATTGCCGGAAAGTCTCCTCCGGCGGACCGTATGGCGAGAACATCTTCCAAGGCGGCACAGGCATCAGCTGGACCGTCTCGGACGCCTTGTTCTCCTGGCTCGGAGAGAAGCAGAAGTACGACTGCGCAAGCAACGCGTGCAAGGAGGGGCAGGCCTGCGGGGAGTACACCCAGCTTGTCTGGGCCAACTCAACCAGAGTTGGTTGCGCGAGCGTAACCTGCGAAGGCGGGGGCACGTTCATCACCTGCAACTACGACCCGCCTGGCAATATCGCCGGCGAGCGTCCCTATTTGGGCTGCGGAGGGCAAGCCGGCGGAACTCCGCCGCCAACTTCCGGTATGATCCTGCTTATTTCCAGAAGAAAAATATTGTTGACCATAAGTCTGACTGTTTCTACATGTGCACAGACAAAGTAAATGGTACTGCGGCCAACGGAAATGGCAATGGCTCAAATGCAAACAGCAGCAACCCAAGAAGAAATGGCAGTAGCCCTGCAATCCTGCCAATCGTCCTTCCAGTGGTAACAATTCTTGGTTTAATCTCAGCTATATCAATTTACATATGGATAAAGAGACCGAGTCCGAAGAAGACACTATCATGTAAGTAATCCTTGCACTACTGTCTACTGGGATCACTATAACTTTGTTGAATTGAAATATGCAGTCGAACTTGTCTTCAGCCTTTCATAAAGCATCCATTACATATATGCAGAAAATTTAAGGTTTCGAACCTAGGCCCTTCAACAATTAGAACAGCCGCAATAACCAGCTAGGCCACCAGACCTCAAGTGCTACGTAAGTTTTTTTATACTTAAAATACAACACTGGAAAAGCGCAACATTTTCTGGTTGTTTTTTCTTTTCTTTTTTTGTTTCTTAAATGCGTGCAGTTCTTATAATTCGTGATTTTTTTAATCGAAAATGACGAAAAAGTTTCAAATTCTTGAATTTTTCTTTCAAATCAGTGAACTTTGTCCCCCAAAATTGATCAGTTTTCTTCACAAATTCGTGAACTATTTCGCAAGTTGGCAATTTGTTTTTGAAAATTGTTGGTCTTTTTTATATATTGATGGACTTTGTTTCTAAATCAATGGATTTTTTTAAAATTTTGTTAATTTTTTTCCAAATCAATGAACTTAATTTGAATTATTGATGAACTTTTTTTAAAATCAATAAAAGAAAAGAAAAACAAAATAATATAGAAACCCATGTAAAAACTGAAGAAAAAACCAGCCCGGTTGAAAAGGAAAACCACAGTCTTTCTTTTTAGCGTTATATTTGACGCACTACAAAAGATGGAAAAAGGAAACTTAGACCATGATCAACGGAGGTGTTCGAGTAGGCGAGATGGCTCCGTCTAAGAGCACGTCGTTTCCCGACATGCTTGAAATGGCCCAAAAAAATTTCATGCCTTGTATGACCAATTCAAGGCACCATGCCAAGTTGTTTTGGTTTTCAACAAGTTTTGCATGTTCCGTAGTTTTCTCGGTAAAAAAAATGCTTGATAATGGGCGGCCGTGTCGCAACTTGCATACGTTGTCAGAAATCGTACAAACCTGGCATGGATGACTTCCATGGTCATGCCCACCTGCTTGAAAAGGTTGGGGTCATTTTAAGAATCTCCAAAAGTAGACCATGTTTAATGAAGGGTGTACGGGTTGGCTAGAAGGCTCTACCTGAGGGTGCGTTGTTTCTCAACATCCTTCGAAAGGCCTAATTTTTTCCACCTCCTTCTATGATCAAATCATGGCACCATGTCAAGTTGTTTAAGTTTTCTACAATTCTTTCGTTTTCTAGAGTTCTCTCGATGAAAACAAGCTGATAAATGGCCGGACGTGACACAACATGCATACGTTGTGGGAAATTCATTCAAACCCGGGATGGATGCCTACCATGGGCATGCCCGCCTACTGGAAAAGGTTGGGATGATTTCATGCATGTTCAAAAATAGATCATGTTTAACAGAGGGTGTTCGGGTAGGCGAGAAGGGTCCATTTGAGAGCATGTTTTTGCGGTATCCATTAACTCACCCCAAATCTTTCCATGATCTTATATTACCGGTTAAACGCACCATGCCAAGTTGTTTTGGTTTCGACAAATTTGACTTTTCCGGGGTTCTCTCGGTTAAAAAAGGTAGATAAATGGCTGGACGTGTCGCAACTTGCATATTTTCTCGGAAATCATTCAAACCTGGCATGGATCCTTACCACAGGCATGCCCCTTGCCTGCAAAAGTTGGTGTCACTTAAAAAATGTTCAAAACTAGACCATGTTCAATGGAGGATGCACCCGGATGGGAATGACCATGGTAGGCAACCATGCTAGGTTAAACAATTTTCGACACCGTATGCAAGTTGCAACATGTTCGACCATTTTATCGGTCTTCTTCTACAAAGGAAACTCCAAAAAATGCAGAATTTGTCGAAAACCAAATGAACTTGGCATGGTGCCTTAAATTGCTCGTAAAAGGCCATGAAAAAAATCGGATCCATTTCTTCATCATTTTTGGTGGGGAAATTGGGGCCATTTCAAAGATGTTGAAAAATAAAGTGCTCTCAGATGAACCGTTCTGACCTTACCGAATAATCTCCGTTCAACATGGTGTTTTTTGGACATCCTTGAAATGACCCCAACTAATAAATACAAAGGGATAAAATTGAAAACAGTAAGTGTTTTTTAAAACATTTAATAAATATTTTATATTTTTTTAAATCACTAGTTTAAAAAGTTAGTTAAAACTTGTATTTTGGTATTCAAAAAAAGAGATAAATGAATTAAAAAAAAGAAATCAAATGAAAAAATAGAAAAGAAAATAAAACGCTTAGGCCTTGGCCCAACTAGGCGACGACATTGCTCTCATCGGGCACGTGTTGGGCCGGTCCAAGAGCTCGCGGATTTGAAAAGTTCATCAATTGTTTTAAAAATATTCATGGATTTGAATATTTTCACAAAAATTCAAAACAAAGTTCACTATGAAATTTGCAAAAAAGTTTTCTCGGTCTTGGGAACCTCGGGTTCCCAGCCATTTTTTTCCTGTTTTGGGACCTTCTCAAAGGTCGTGAACCGTGTTTTTCTTTTTCTTTTTCTTTTTATCTTCTCTCCTGTTTATTTTTTGTCTTCTTTGACTTTTCGTTTATTTTTTAAAAACTGTTCGTATTTTGACATTCTGAGCATGTTTGAAAGGCATGGACATTTGTTTTGAAATTTATGTACAAATTTAAAAAATACAAATATTACTATTTTATGAACAAAACAGGAAAACTAGATACCCTAAAGAAAACCGTGCAAAAAAAAAAGAGAGACGTAAACTAAAGAGTGGAGGTGCTGTGTTTTTTTCATGGTGTTATGTCTCCCGCACAAGAAGTGGAAAACAAGCCAAGAAAGCAAATGTGATGTGCTGTCCAGGATGGTTTGTGTTGTTACAAGTAGTGCGTGAGGGCGCTGGTTCGAATCCAGCCGAGGGCATCCATTTTTAAAAAATTAAAACTAAAAAAACGTAAATGGGCTGAGCCCATGAGGGAGGGCTGTTCGGGTATCATACGAACCTACAGCGTATATATGTTCTATGTAGAAAAGTGAATACAATTTGTGAAAAGTCCATACTACCCTTTATACGTTTTGTGAGGGGGGGTGTACCGAAGCACTTCTCTTACATATATGGAGTAACTACTAGTGGAAGCATCCATGTCGCCATTTCATAAATTTAATCTTTCGTAACTGATGTTCTACTAGCTCTCTGCGGAAAAAGACCAATGGTCAATTCTTTGTATCATATATGCAGATACAGCTTGTTCAGAAGATATTGAAGATATTAAATCGGTGCTACTGGACCCATCAGTAATAAGAACAGCAACGAGTAATTTTTCTGAAGAAAATAAACTGGGGGAAGGAGGATTTGGTCAAGTTTATAAGGTAAATCCAGCAACAAACCCAGGATTAGTTGTTTACAGCGTCCTGCTATTTTCACCATATTTTCTTTCATGAATAATGAGAACTATCCATTAAAAGGATAGTACACATTAGCTACCTTAGATGGCATACATTTTCTAAAATCCCACTTCACACTTATGTACTCTCCACTTTCTAGTGGAGTGGGTTTGAGATAGGATTTTAAAATCTCACTTCTTCTTTATCTCTGTCATTCAAAACTGATCTACAGACTGGGTTTGACTTGTGGCTTCTCAACCCTATTTCAAAGCTAGCATGTACTTCCTTTGTAAACAAATATATTAATTTAAGTTTCTGTTTTCAGGGTATGATGCCAGATGGACAAGAAATAGCAGTAAAAAGATTATCGGAAGGATCAAAACAAGGCCTTCCTGAGCTAAAAAATGAGCTGCTATTAGTTGCCAAGCTTCAGCACCGTAATCTGGTGAAGTTAATAGGCGCTTGCCTCGATGGAGAGGACAAGTTACTTGTGTATGAATATATCCCAAAGAAAAGTCTTGATGCCTTTATTTTCGGTACTGGAGTTTCTAGTTTATTTCTAATTCTAAGCAAACTTTGGATTGAAAAATACTAGTTGTACTGACGTCATCATTACAATGTTCTTTAAATAATGAAAATGGTTGAGATAAAATAAAATCAAGCATTTTGTGAAGCTACTATACAAATTACAAATAAAAATAAATTCGATGTGGTAACACATATATACAAACATTGGTTCAGGTCAATTAAACAAATCTTTGCATGAACATCAGTAGAACAAACTCATAATTTGAATTCTTCGATGTCTGGTTTTATATATTTATTTAACATGAGCAGGAACTTGGCAAACCAATGTTTCTACAATCATAGATAACTTGTTATGTTCATTGGTAGAGTAATCGCATTGTCTAAGTTTCTCTTTGACATACATCTTTGCCACTTTGACGTTAGTCCCACTGTGCATGTTTTCAATTACTTTTTCTGTCACATGATTTATTTGGATTATGATGCCTTTTTAGATGACGAAAAGCGTGGAAAATTAGCTTGGGATACACGATACAAGATCATTTGTGGTATTGCTCGAGGCTTGGCATATCTACATGACGAGTCCCGTATAAAAGTTATACATAGAGACCTGAAGCCAAGCAATATATTACTAGAAATGGATATGAATCCAAAGATCTCTGACTTTGGTTTGGCAAGTGTTTTTGAGGGTGATCATACAAAGCATATTACAAGAAGAGTAGCTGGAACCTAGTAAGTTATGGATTCAGTTAATCTTATCACAAGTTCATAAGTGCCACGTTCACAAAAGAAGCAACGTTTAACCATTTTCTAGTGCAGTGGATATATGGCACCAGAATATGCGGTTCTTGGACATGTTTCAACCAAATCAGATGTGTTCAGCTTTGGAATGATTATTCTAGAAATCGTGACGGGGAGGAGAAACAGTGTATCGTCTGAAACAATGATGGCTGAGCATCTTTTAACCTATGTCAGTTTTATATTCAGTTAATTTCCAGTCTCAAAATGTGATGTTATAGTAAGCTTTTTTGACGAGCAATTGTTTGTGCATAGGTATGGGAGAACTGGAACAGGGGGACAAAAGCTGAGATAGTTGATCCATCATTGCACTACAACTATTCTGAAAGTGAGGTTCTCAAGTGTGTACACATTGGACTATTATGTGTTCAAGAGAGTCCAAGTGATAGACCCGGCATCTCCAATGTGATCCTCATGCTTGTTGGAAGGTCTACTACCTTGCCTGCTCCTTCCAGGCCTGCTTTTCTATTTAGGTTGAATAATGAGAACCATGTCCATGGTGATCTCAATGACCTACTAGATGACTCGAACAAATCAAATCCATCATTCAATAAGTTGACAATCACAGAATTCGAACCAAGATAGCCCTGACCCTCAAGTATGTAGTTAGAGAAGGGAAACAAGGAACACCATTCTTTATGTCAATTCATCAGGATTGTGTTGAAAAAACATTTGTATAAATTGTATGACTCGCAAGATAACTTTGAGGAGGGATAATTAAGAATCTAATTGGTCAAATAATAAGAGTTATGAGTTATGACCTAATGGGTGCAGACCTGAAATTGTTCCAGAAAGGAACAAAGTCAGCAGGTAGCGGGGCTCATTCTCTGTGTTTTGCTTCAACTGATTTCACAAAATCTGAGATTCTCAATGTCCCTCACCCTCTTAAGGTCTTCATATATACTACTACTAATTAGCTGAATGCCGACCATTCAAAAAACAACATAGCCTAATGCCCGTCTGAAATTGATGAAATCTTCGAGATTAGTTGTCAGGCATAGTATTTGCAAAAACTAGGTAATCTGGATTCGGTAAATACTTCTAGGGAAAAATTAATATTACCAAAAAAAGCTAAGTCAGTAATTTTTAAACAAATAAAATGCAAGGCCAAATGGACAGTACTATTACTATGCCAGATCAACGGACGATAGATTTATTTCAAGTATGATGATGACTCACTGACACATCCGATAGCACATTCAAGCATATACGGTGGTGGTATCACAACTTCGGTTCATCAAGATAAAGTGCAGCTGCATCTGCAGGAATAGTACAAACCCATAAACTTAAACAGAGAAACGCAGAAGTGATGTTTAACAGTAACTTGCTATGATTATTAAAAACACTGCGATACTAAATAGGATAGTCTTCTGATGGAGACAAGAAATGCAGCCTTCCTCCCGAGCATGGTTCGTCACATGATGATCATGGTGATCACTACTTCTTAACACTCATCCTTGTCTCCCCAAAATAAGAAAATCAAATCGAACGTTACAACGTGATAATTAGTTTATAAGAAAGGCGCTGGCGCAATTTAGTACAGACCTTAATTTTTCCTCAATGAACATGTAGATGCCTCAGCCGAGTAAAATGCACAAAACCACCACTTTGGCGTTACAGCTGTCGAAAAACCACCACTTTACAAAACGTGACACTTTGCACTCAGGGCCGTCTACAAGGGTGGCCAAGGTGGGCAACCGCACAGGGGCCCCCAAAATCTGGGGCCCCATATCGCACTAATCTAATGCTAATTAATTCTGAAAAAAAATCTACTGCTAATTATCTGGTATGTCCCGCATGATCTTTTTTTTTGAACTGGAAATGTCCCGCATGATCTTAGTGGCCAGCAATTTCTTTCCTACTCTGCGCACGATCCCGCGGTTTGCTTGATTATCTCCCGTGCTTATGCCAGCAGTTTTTCCGGGCGCAACACGCCATTTTTTCCGGATCTGTTGACTGGCATGTAATTGCATGCATGAAGATTAGGTAGGAAAGGAAATTATCAGTGAGGAAAGGAGATCCCTTCATCCGTGGGGATTTTTTTACTGTAGGCTTCAAGTGGAAACAACCCACTAGCAACTTAGGAAATCAATGAATAAACCAAATACATTCACTATTTTACCAACAAAAATATATACTTAGTATTTTGAAATTTCATAAAAGGGTTAATGCACCTAAAAAATAAAATAACGGTAGTATGATTTAAAAAAATTGGGCCCTATTTTATATTCGTTGTTCGTATCACACAAATGTGCAGACTTAAGTACTTCAGTATGATGTGATTCACGTAATTGGTTGCTCAGCAGTGCAGCAAGAGCAGATCATAGAGTGATATCATCTTCGATGACATGGGAATTAGTCAGCCATAGGGCAATTTTCTTTTATTTCGCACCGGGGCCCTGAAATCCTGGAGACGCCCTGTTTGCACTGCGCCGAAAATTTGACAGTGGCAAAAAACACTAAGCAAAATTTTGATCCGGTTTTGACGTGGCAAATCGTCCAATTTTTGATCTATTCATCTTCAATCATGGCAGTATAGCAAACACAAGAAATAATAAAAAATTACATCCAGATTCGTAGACCACCTAGCAACGACTACAAGCACTAAAGCGAGCCGAAGGAGCGCCGCCTTCATCGCCCCTCCCTCACCGAAGCTGGACACATCTTGTTGTAGTAGACAGTTGGAAAGTCATCGTGCTAAGGAAACATAGGACCAATGCATGAGAAGCAACCGCCACCGATGAAGAGAAGCTTAGAATGGAAGGATCCAACCTAAAGACACATGAACAATTTTTTTTAAAAAAATTGGATCCGAGTAGATCCACCAAAGAAAACCGCCGACCGAATCTCGCGAGATCCATCGGAGACACATCTCCACATGCCCTTCGACAATGGTAGACGAATCCAGCTTTTCCACAGTTGTTAGTTCAGAAGATCCACCTCGTAACTCACAACTCACATCAGCTTTTTCATAATTCACAGCTCAACCAAACACACTCTTGATGCATTGGTAGATTATCATGATGCATCCCAAACCCTACCCACCCCCCTCCCGGTTTGATAGATATCCTTTAGAAATCTTACTAAGCACCCATCAGTGACAAGCGGTATTACTAAATGTTGTTCACATTGACTGTAATAGACCTAACATGGTTGTAAAACCATCAGAGAAGAGATTTCCCATCCGTGTATAGCAAGTGCTAAGTCGTAACTTATTCACATCATTCATTTCTTTCGTAAGGTGTGGTATTTTTCCAAAACTAACATTTTTTATTTGCGACCTGTTTACAGAAAAGTTATCAATATACACAGTACTAAGTAAATAAAATGTGAAAATATTTATTCATAGAAACAATGATAATTTGATATTATACATGTTGATATTTTACTTACAGACTTTAGCAAATATAAGAAAAAGTTGGCCTTCTTGAAGAAAAAGTTTTTTTTTGAAGCATCAAGACTTTATTCCTCAAATGATGGACAGATCGTTTACAATAGCATGAGAAATAAAGTCCGGGATAGTAGATTCCCAAAACGAGGAAATTCTATTGCTACAAGAATTACTAGCTAAGATATGAGCAACCTCATTTGCTTCACGAAAGCAGTGTGAATATGATGTATCTGCAAAATCGAGAGCAAGTTGCCTGCACTCTGAGATTGTTGCTAGATTTGGTCCCGTGTACGACTCTGGGTTCTGGAAGGAATGCACCACAAAACTGTTATCAGACTCCACCTGTACTTTGTTGCAACCGAGCCTGCCAGCCAGATATAGTCCATTGCGTATCGCCAAGGTTTCAGCTGAATCCACGCTAGTGATTTGAGGTAGATACCATGTGGCTGCCGCTATGAAGTTCCCCCTGCTGTCCCGAGCAATAGCACCTGTTGCTCCTGAAAGAGTGTCAGGTAGGAACGATGCATCCACATTCACTTTTATCACATCGCTAGTTGGGCGTTTCCACATATGATCATGCTTCCTCTCCACAAATTTGCTTGAGTACGCTCGGAGGAAATTGGTAGCCAAAGCTCTGATAGATACAGCTGATTTGTCAGCTGTTTGGACCTCTTCTCCTCTCACATATTGGCGCCTCTGCCACCAGAGGTACCACGAAGCCACAAAAATTAACTCGGCCGTGGGCAATCCCTCACATACGCCCTGTGTTCGAGCTAGAATCTGTACAGTTACTGATCCAGATCGGTCCTGTCTAACAGCCTCCATAATGGTGTTATGGACCCCCAATGCTGACCATATTTCTTGAACTCTCCTGCATGTAAACAGACAGTGCTGAATATCTTCCAACCCCACTGAGCAGACTGGGCATTGTGGGATTAGCGGGATATGTCTGTTTGCCAGAATTCCATAGCAGGGTAGTGATCCATTCAAAGCCTTCCAAGCAAAATGTTTTATCTTACCAGGGATTTTAAGATTCCACACTTCTTGCCATATTGCCTCCTCCTGGGTGTTCCCTTGCCCATCAGATCTTGCAAGGCGGTGACCGTACTGGTGTTCAAACTCTTTGTGATAAGCTGACCGGACCGAAAAGGTCCCTGATCTCGTGTAATTCCATGCTATAAAATCCTCCATGAACTGAACATTAAGAGGTATTTGTAGTATCCTATAAGCATCAACAGGAGAGAAAACATCTCTGATAAGGGTTTCATCCCATTGTCCGGTGTGAGGGTCTATTAGTTCCTCCACATATCTTAGCATGATCATTCCTCGGGGTGTAATCACTTTTCTTGAGGGACTGGAAGGGATCCAAGGATCCTGCCATATATCTATTTGTGCTCCTGTTCCCACACGCCATATACATCCCCTTTTGAAGGTTTGAATCCCTGCAACAATACTCTGCCAAGTGAACGACGAGCCTTTCTTTGGGCCTGCCTTCAAAATATTCCCCTCTGGATAATACTTTGCGCTTAGTACACGTGCACGGAGAGAGTCCGGGTTCTGGATTAGTCGCCAACACTGTTTTGCTAGTAAAGCAAGGTTAAAACTGTGAAGGTCTCTAAATCCTAATCCCCCTTTCTTCTTCGGTACACACATCTTCCACCACGCAAACCAATGCATTTTCTTCCTCTCTTCACCATCTCCCCACCAAAAGCCAGCAATCTCATCAGTTATAGTTTTGCAAATTCCTTTAGGGAGTTTAAACACTGACATAGCGTACGAAGGAATTTCCTGGGCCACTGATTTCAAGAGAATTTCCTTGCCCTGTATGGAGAGAAACTTCTCCTTCCACCCTTTGAGCCTCTGGCAAATTCTGTCTATTAGATGTTGGAAACAATCGCTCCTATCCACGCCCACCAAGGTGGGCAGCCCCAAGTATTTATCCGAGAGAGCTTCTGTGGCTATATCCAGTTCTTCACGTATTTCTTCTCTTACTCCAACCGGTGTATTAGGGCTGAAAAACACACTCGATTTGGCATTGCTTACCCTTTGTCCTGAACTTTCACAGTAAGTATCAAGAACTCTTTTCAGAGTGTTTGCACTTTGAAAATTAGCTTTCAAAAGAATTAGGGAATCATCCGCGAAGAGTATGTGAGAGATCATAGGGGCGTTTCTGCTCACCTTTATCCCTTCCAGG